TTGACAAAAATGTATTTTGAATTTTTTATGTGTTTCAAAATGATAAACAGCTTGTTTAAAATCACTGTTTTTGATATTTCTGAAAATTTTAAAAAATAGCAGAGTAAAAGCAGTAAATTAAATTGTAATAACTAATATGAGTATCTAAACCAACAACACATTTTTAGGGTAAGGTGGTCTGAGAAATTCAGTAAAACCAGCCATTTAACCAAAAATAGTACCATTTTATAATTTACAATAGTATACATACATATATAAATTTGTAATACATGCATAGGAAACAAATGTTTTTGGGACATTTTTGTAGCTTATGCAACGTATTTTGTTAATATTTGTGTAAATACCTGTTTCATCTTCAATTTAATTTCAGTCAGCACCACATTATTCAAATAGTCTTTTATCCACTCGTAAATCTTCAAATTAATATCACTTAGACAGAATTCAGCCAATATCACCTCGACGTTTGTGAATTTTTCCATGCTAATGTCCACTGAACCAATGTTATTAGGTCTACGAAGAAAATTGGTAAGCAATATCGTGGTGTTTAATAAAAATGGTTTGTAAACAGGTACTTTGACTTCTAACTCATCCATTGCCTTAGAAGACCCCGAGGATAAGAAACAGTTTTCAAAATGAAGCCCTACTTTTTCTAGACGCAGTGGCAAGATTATCGACATATTTTGATTGTTGATTGTTGTTTTGATTTGAACATCACTAATCCTCCTGAGAGAGCTTAACTCCCCCAAAACACCGTCCACTGCGAGGAGTTTCAGTTTCACCGGAATTTTCCCCACAAGTTTCACAGTTTCTTGTTTTAGATCAGGCACTGGGATGAACTCACTGTCCGTATTCTGAAGAGTGCTTTTGACATCTCGTACTAAATTATCCGCCCAGCTGTTTAAGTCAGCACTGTTGCACAAACACAAGGTGAAAAGTTGAAGAAAGTGAAAAACTACTTGCATTATCTGGTTTTCAAGTATTTTCCAAAAATCGATAGCTGAAAAAAAGTTATAAATTAACTTGGCACTTTTCTTAACTTACGCATTCATTTGAATATATGGGAATACTGAACTTGTCAAGTCAACTCAATACCATGCAAAATGCTGTGTGTGACACATAGTGCTTCACCAATGCCGATGCTTGTCACTTGTCACGTTATGGTCGCTTAAGAATTTTCAAACTGATTAACATTAATTATCGTTTTCTGTAATACCCAATAATTGTCTGTCCATAAAGTTAAACACGAGATTATCAGATTATCAATTTATGACAACAAATAGTGTTAGATAACAGATTGATGTCCTTGAACTTATTTCTGGTGTACGGTATAGGTGTAGTTTATGTAGATGGAATTTCCTGTATTTTTATTTTTACAAAAAGACTTTAATAACCTTGAATTTTTTTAGAGAGTACAAAAGTATATTACTACTCTTACTATAAAAAAAGAAATATACTTCATTCACTTTTGAAGACTATTTTATATCCTTGAAGGTAACATACAAGATAACATTGACAAATATGGCAACAATTGTTATTAAATACGGACAAAGAAAATTGTCTGACATTCATTCGGTGACATTCTAATGGGGTCTGCCCAAAAGGAATTAATGGATATGTTATTTCTTACTGTAATAGTTTCAACTCACAACTGTAGATCAATATTTAAATTCATTATTAAATTGTGTTGAAGCTTATATTACAAATAATGTGTAGGATTAAAAGCTCAGATTAAGGTGTTTACAATAAAATTACTTACTGATCAATTTAATTTTGTATTAATATTCAAGTTTATGGAGTTAAAACATCAAGTTTGGAAAACTTGCTTTATAAAAGGCAAAATTGAGATAATTTTAATCAATTTTGGGTGTTAAAAGATAGAGAATATTCCTATAAGGTAAGTCAGCTCTGAGAGTACTTACTCAGTATCAAGTCAGAACTTATGAGTCTCCACTGTACTGTGTTGCTGTTCTTACATTTACTTAGCTTTCATTGACAACTCTTGTTTAATCAAGTGTTGGAGTTGGCTGGTTGCCTTCCTGTGTTAGACAAAGCGTATTTCTCACTCTGGATCTTCTTTATAACATCTCACGCTAAACCATTCATAATATATCAGAGGATTGTAGTACATGTTCAGGCTTATCTGGTGTCAGTGTCTCGTAGTGATGATTTTACAAAAAAAATAATAATAATAATAAATAAATAAACTACAAAATATTGAGATTCACAAAGTCATCAATACAGGTAAATTATCAGTGTTAGTAATTTTGATTAATCGTTGTTAGGAGAGTAGGATTACGATTACCGTTTGTTCTTCTGTGAATGATATCATAGAAACCTAGATATTTTAATAATTTATTTGTGTCTAGATAAAAAAAAAATAATTGCAAATGTTTTCGGTATCCTCAATCTCTTTCTGACATTATAATTATATAGTATTAACATTATTAGCTGGGTAGCTGAATTTTTTCAGGCTTACATCGAAAATCGTTGAAGTCATGCTAAAGAAGGCATCTCGTACTTCGCATATATGTTCTCTTTTGTTGTGATTTCATTGTTTTTTTTTTTGACAATTTTCAATCAAGGGAATAAGCTATTACCGTAAATCTCATGGTACCTGGACCTGGAACCTGGGTGGGACCAATTTACTTTTTTGTTTTGATCTCCCCAGAGGCAAAAAACACTATTCGTTTAGATTTTTATTATTTATATATGTGTCCGTGAACACAATGACTTGAGTAATTTTGGTCCGATTTTGATAAAATTTGGCTTTAAGGTGTAGGGGGGAATAAACTTGAAAAGTCCACGAACCAACAGGATCGGGTCATGGGAATGGGTTATTATGAGGTTATAAAATTATCAAAAATTAGTAGGCCTACTCTTTAAAAAATGTTAACCTTTAACCATGATAATGTCCGATTTTCATTACAGCCATCGTGGAAAAATTGAAAAAACAAATAATATTGTATGTTAAAGCGGTGTCCTAAAATAAAAGTAAAACCTTACAGAAAAAATTCCAAGAAAACTTGGACTTAAAACAAATGTTATTTATATGGGAAATAAATACGAGGTACGTTCGGAAAGTAAGTTTGTTCCCCTAATCTACGGGATAGCGCTACGATCGCAATTTAGCACATGCGCAGTAGTTACTCTGTGTCAACCGGAAGGAAATGACACAATTTTGAACTCGCTATTGTTGTCGTACACTTTGTAGTGCTTGTTTCTAATAGCTGCGTTAATTGAGAATCCTACCTATTGTGAAATTCGATCGTTGATTTGTTTTGTTAATGCAAAAACGTTAAAGCAATTGACATTCACCGACAAATCTGTGAGGTTTATGGGGACAATGTAATGAGTGATTCAATGGTGAGAAGATGGGTTCGACAGTTCAAAGAAGGGCAAGATACAGTGCATGATGAGAAACGAAGTGGACGTCCATCTGTGGTAAATAATGAACTGGTTAGTGGCAGTCAATGATAAGATTAAAGAAAACCGTAAGTTTACAATGAGTGCTCTTGCACGTGAGTTTCCACAAGTTAAACCCTGCCTGAATGGGATAAATCCGCCGAATGGGCAGTGCACTTGATTTCTTGACTTGTTGGGATTGGTGATATATTATTATCGCAGATAGTCACGGGAGATGAAACTTGGGTTGCCTATGATACCCCTGAAACCAAGCGTCAATCAATGGAATGGAGGCACACTATGGCAAAAATCAAACCAAAGCAAATCTTGACACCTCGAAAAATCTTCTGTCCAGCTTTCTGGGACAGTAAAGGCATTTTGCTTATTGATTTTTTGCCGCGAGGCCAAGCAATTCATAAACATGTTTATTGCAAGACACTCAGGAAACTGTGCCGTGCAATACAGAATAAGTGCCGAGGAATGCTCACGAAAGGAGTGAAGTCAAAGTCAAAGTCCTTTATTCAACCAGATTAACAATACATTGCATTGGCCAAGTCAAGAGATTACATTTTTATGAAATTAATTAACTACTAAATACATTGTATACAAATTGTTTTCTTTTATGTTTAATAAGGTTAAAGACTACCAGGAAATTCCCGGACGCTGTAGCAGACCTTATTTATCAGCATGGACTTAACTAATTTCCTGAATTTTCCGATGTCCTGTTCGGCTTTCAAAGGGAGAGGGAGGTCATTAAAAAGTTTTACTGCATTGAAGTGGAAATTTTTCTGAAAGAAAGTGGTTGAGTGACGTGGTACTGAAAGATTGAAATTGTTGCGTAGACGATAACTATGGATACTTGGAGAGCTATATGATGATTGGTTTTTCTTGATAAATGATAATGTTTCTAAAATGTAAATGGAAGGGAAAGTTAGAACTTTTTCATTCATCAAAAAGTTAGTGGTTTTCATTCATCACAATGCTCAATCACACACCAGAAATGTGACGAAGACACTTCTTCAGGGCTTTGGCTGGGATGTTTTTGACCATCCTCCGTACAGCCCTGACCTCGCTCCAAGCGATTTTCATTTGTTTTGCAATCTGAAGACTTTTCTTGGTGGTCAGCGGTTAATCTGCAATGAAGAGCTGAAAGAACGTTTTACCAACTACATTGGCGGCAACATTCTACGAGGAGGCTGTACTCGAACTTGTACCACACTATGACAAATGCCTCGAAAATCTCGGGAGTTATGTCGAAAAAAAGTGTAAGAGTTATGTTGGAAAAAGGTGTAAGAGTTGTAGATTTTTTTTTTTAATCTGTACTCGTTAGTCCTTTATTGCAAAACAGAACTTACTTTCCGAACATACCTCGTATGTCTTGTCTATGAAAATATTTTAGTAAAAATCCTATCAGACAAATTGCTGCAGTGGGGATATTTTAACCTATTTTCTCAGCTTGCAATCTCCAACATTGTGCTGCTGCCTTGGTGAAGTAACAATGAAAATAAAATCTGCCACCCACCTCAACCATTGAACTGTAATCTTCAATAGTTTGTTCAAACCCACAAACAGTCTAGACAGCTTCACTTGTGTTACAGTGTAGCAGATCTGTGTATAAGTTTGGGCACAACACTACAGATCCTACCTAGCGGCAATCTGCCCTTGCACACCAAGAAGTACAACAGCGGACGACTCGCCATCTGCAACCTGCAACCCACCAAGCACGTGAGTTACTTATAAACACTGTGAAGCAACTAGTCTTGTTTTACGGCTGCTAATGTCAAAAGATTTTTTTGTTTTCCAAGCCACTAGCTCCCAGTTAGTTTTCCATAGCCCACTATGCTTGCACATGTTGTTTTACTAAGTAATGTTGTGATTTATTATTTTCATTTACTTAATTAACCTGTAGTGTTTTTTTTTAGATCTAGCTTCAATCATTCCTGTAGCCTTCTCGACTCTGCCTTCTGTGTAGAATTTGTTATTCACAAGTAAAGCAAACCAAACCTTGAGCAAGCTCTAAAAAATATTCCTCAATATTTGGAATTTAAAATAGCTCAATCTTTGGCATCCTTGGCTGTCAAAGCAATATAACAAGTCAGCTGAGTGAAATGATAGGACCTCACAGCTCCATTTACATTCTGGGCTGAAAACGGATATAACCGTCCTGAGATTTTTCTTGATACACATTGTTTATAGTAAGAATATAAACATTATACTGCATTATAAATGGGGTATTTTTGTGTTTGGCAATAATAATTGCCACAGCTGTTTCAGCTACAATTTTGCGTCATAGAATGTGTGAATATTGAGAAACTGTCAGTTTGCCCAAGGTTGTTTATGAGTGACTGATGTTTACATTTGGGTTTTTTGCTTATTTTCTATGTTATTGAAAATGACTGATCCACCAATCAGTTCTAAATATTTTATTGAAATGCTAGAAAAAAGTATGTCTGCGAGGGATTTTATTATACATTAGAGTCCCGCAAACTTGGTGTAATGTGGACAGGAAGGGTGCCGAGTTTGTGAAATGCCAGGTTATCGGGAACTAGGGTTAAAAATAAGGACAATAAAATTTTTAAGCTTTTAGTGAATTTCCCTATAGGGAAGTAGCTATTACCGTAGGTCTCATGGTAAGACCTAAGCCCGGGACCGATTTACTTTTTCATTTTGATGTCCCCAGAGGCCAAAAACACCATTCGTTCAAATTTTTATATATCTATATATAGATATATATATATATATATATTTAATAAATAATATGTAAAATAACATGAGTACCCTTTTTTTATATTCTTTTTTATTTAATAAATAAAAACACATATATATATATATATGTGTCCATCCGCACGATAACTTGAGTAATTTTTGTCCGATTTTGATGAAATTTGGTTTGAAGGTGTAAGGCGGGATAAACTTGAATGAGTTCGCGAACCAGCATGATCGGACTATGGGAACGGGGGTTTATGGGGGGTTTTATGGGGTAAAAATAGGTTTTTCCCATTTTTGACTCTAAAAACACCAAATTTCTAAATTTCTTTTCAAACCATTTTGTAGAGCTTAAAAAAACAAATAATTTAGTATATTGAAGCGTTATTATGCGCCTAATTGTTACGGAGAAAATTCAAAAAAATTGTAATTTTAAAATTCCCATGTTATTCTTATGGAGCAGAAGTCAACTGTTGTAGTTTGCTTGTTTATGAAAATATTTTAATCAAATTTGGAAAATACATTAACTTCTTACTAAACCACAGTACCTTTTAACATTTTACATAAAAAAACTTGTTTACCCTCCCTGTTGCAGCAAACCTAAGTACTCATTAAACTAATTCTGTTTAAATAGGGAATAAATGTGATATTTTTAAGGAGACATTTTAGTTTAAATCCAATCAGGCAAATGGAAATTCGCTAAGTCTGCAGGTTTGCTGCGGCGGGGGTATTTAACCTCCTTTTTTTATATTACAAGTCACTCAAGTCAGTATTAAGTCATCATCTATAGTCCAAAATATCCTTGGTACGAGTTGTGAATGATTTTACTTGAGCTGGCTTGACTCCATGTTTAACTCGGACTCAAAATATTACTAATTTTCTGAGCCAGGTGATGGCCGAGTTATCCAGACTGCCGGGTTATCGAGTGCCGAGTTTGCGGGATTCTACTGTACTTGGCATTGAAAATCATAGTACGGCATGTGATGGATATGATGAACCTAAAGAACAGTCTTTACGTAGTGGAAGTGTTGGTGGCGGTTGGGGATGAGGACATGGGAGGGAAACTGAGTGGTATAGATTTACTTCAGAATGATAGATCCATTTTAATGGATAAAAAACAAAACAAGCGAAGGAATGCGGTCTACGGATATATCTGTCTGCCGCCCACAGGAATATTCAAGATTATTGACAGTGTTAATATTTCATGATTATCACTATGGAATGGATGGCAGACGATTATAACCGTCCACCCTAGGTTTTTTGTGGGCCTATGAACGACATATCCGTAAAATCAAATTTTATTTTCTTCACAACTTTGGTACAAAAAATAGTTCAGCAATTAAATAAGAAAATATCAATTAAGTAAGCATAGCTTGTTGAGAAAATACTGAAAATTGCATGGTGCAGAGTATAAGCTAAAACACTTAACACTGTGCACCATCAGTATTGGAAATAAATTTGGTTAAAAATATAAGGGGTTATAATAGGCAGCTGTTCTCAGTATTTTAGCATTGAATTTGGATTTTGCACCAGTATTCCTTCATCAAAGACCAGCTGTTGCCAGTTTTTCATTAAAAGAGAACATGGTTGTATGCATATCTACCCACAGAGTGTTCTAACAACAAACATACATCTACTCTCCTGTTGTAGGATCGGAAAGCTGACATGTTGATCCATGCGTATGTGGATGACATCTTGGTGAAGCTGATGGAACAGCTGGGATTGGACATCCCAGAGTACTCTCGTCTCAACGATCCTACGCTGACACGTCGGGGTCGTCCCATGGAGTGGACTATCCTGGACAGTGAGGTGAGAGGGGCATGTTCTGACAAGTTGAAACTCAAACAATGTGTGATAGAAGTTTCAAAATATCTGGTTCAGTGTTAAAAGCTGTATCTGATGGGGAACCATTGAGGAGTTTAAGGGATAAAGTTTGGCATATACAAGGCTATTCAAAAATATCAACCCAGTTTCCAGAATTTGTATCTCAAAAAATATAAATCGTAAAAATAAGTTTTACGCTGTTAGAAAGAGAAAATGTCAAAGTTTTATTTACACTGATACAAATGCTCGACGTGTCCCCCCTGTGCTGCATGGCAAACATCTAAGTGATAGCCGAATTTTCCCCACAAACGAGATAGCATCTCTTGTATCAGTGACTGCACAGCTGCAATTTCTTAAAATTACCTAAATAACGAGTTATGCTTTGTATAGTTGGTGGTTAAATAATGAATTCAAGGTGAAAATCCCGCTGCACCGTAATAGAAGACTCTGTTTTTGCAAACTCCATGACACAGAAAATCTTGTGCTGTATAGCCATCTTACTAACAACTGATGGTAAAACAAAGTGGCTGTCCATTGTTGCGATAACTTTTTTGGCCGTTAACAGAACTATGGGCAAGAAACTTAAAAATTTTCTCTTTTGAATGGTGTAAAGTTTATGTCTTTTGAGATACAAGGTGATGAAGTTGGGTCCATATTTTTGCATAGCCCTGTATATTAACACCAAAAAAGGTTATTTTACATTATACCTATATTTCCTGTGTCCAGATAGTAAATGTTCCACTCTCTTTCTCAGAAGAAGTTGTGTGCTTGGAGGATGCCCAAGGCTTCTAATGTTTTTAGGGCTGCATGTTTTTAGGCTATGTTAAAAACTCCAAGCCATTAAAAGAGAAACTAATAGTTTCCATGAATAGTTCATAATCACACCTTGTTTTGGGAGAAAGTCCACTTATTTTATGAGGCTATAATAAAAATAAATTACTTTAAAAGATATTGTGAATGGGTTTTGTAAAAATTTTAATTATTGTAACACTCTCTATTGAAAAATAAATTATTTTTGTACAGAACAACCAAAGTTGAAAGGTAATTGTGTCAAATGTAAGTTCAATGATATGGTTTTATAAACAAGTCAAGTGTTTTTTTAGGTAGCTGCCATGCGGAGAATGTATGAGAAAACTTGCTGTCGAGGAAAGAAGAAAAGGCCAGAAAAAGAGAAAATTTCCTCTAAGAAAATCAAAAGAGAACCTGAATTCAAGTGTGAAGATAAACTTGCAGACATCAAAACAGACAGTGAATTTACAAAAATTGAAATCAAAGTTGAGAAGAAAGAAAGTGATACTGGTTGAAACTTAGGGATTTCTGAACTGTGAGTTTTAAACAAATGCAATTCAAACAAATATTCTTTGTCATGTAGCACTAGGAAGATATGACATAAAGGACTAAATATTAATTTTTATTTTTAATAATTTACAAAGGTTTAGAAAATCTCTGAATATAAAAATTATAGGAAGGTAGCTTTATTATAAAACTAATCAAATCAATCATATTCCTTAGAGTTAAAAGACTGTATTTTGTAATGTATTTTAATTTTTAAATGTTGCATGTGTTTTTAACTTAGTTATTAAGATAAATAATTTGTTTTTAGATTATTTTCAGTTGAAATAAGTGATATAGCACGGTGCATTATTAATATTATTTCTTATCAGTATTTTTGTAGTTGTAAGTGTAGAAATAAAAAAAATTGTCATCTAGTCCCTTTTGTAGCATTTTGGATCTGCTTCTCTCATGATCTCTTGTTGGATCATCTTTAGGATTTATCCTCATGAAAATAACTGATATCAAAACATTTTGCATAAGGTTGATCCTAAAATTGTTGTATGGCCTGTCAGAGAAGGTCCTGCCACCACATTAGAAATGTATGCTCCTATTGACATTCTTATTTTGAGCTTCTTTACAAATTTGCTACAATTTATTTGGTAATTAAAAAACCTGTTAGTTTTTATGTTTCATAGAGCAACAGAGCTCTCTGAGGTCCATGAATATGGCAATTTCCTTTTAGTAAGGGTTTCAAATAGTGTTTTGTTGTTGTTAAAACTATTAGCTTTACCCTTACCTTGGAACAGGGTATGAGTCGTAAATTATACAAAATATACAGGTATTATTAATAATTTTAACATTTTACATATTCTCCATGATAAAAGGCATCATTGCAGGAATAATAAACTCACCAACAAATTTTACAATACTCCATCTGGTTTGTGCCAATCATTTTTACAGTGTAGCGATAGACCTTTTACTGTGGATGAAGACTTTGACTTTGGTGAATAACTTTAAGTCCTAAGGAGTATTAAATCCAAAATAAGAAACCTTCTTAGTCATATTTCAGAAGTGTCCAGGCAGACGGATGTTTGGTTTGATAATGCACAATGGACATGTATTTATTTTTACCAATTTACATTTCTAGATTAGGGAAATCAAGAAAAGACCACCCAAGGATTTTTTGTAAATATCAATATCTAAAAAAATATTGATCCTTTTGTCTATCTATATACTTACTACAAAAAGGTTTTTCTCTGTAACCCCCTTTTTTCCTACTTAACCGCTTTTTACAATAGTATTTTAAAGCTTATGACAAATGTAGGGAGGAATGGTAACTAAAAGGTAATTTCCTTTAGGGCTTTGCCTCATAGATTTATTTCTAGAGCTCGCTTTCAAAGATCCATTGATGATGATGACCCACTTTCTTTATAAAAATTGAAATGTAAACTGTAATTTTCTCAGCTTTATTTTAAATTGGCAACTTTCATTGATAATTGCCATAATATTAGTTTATGTGTCAAATTGTAAGTGTAAATCTGTAATCGTACTTTATGGTGTACATTTACAATCAACACATTTAATATATTTTTAACTTAATAACTGTGTTAAAAAAACATAATCATTGAAAAGTAAAGGATGATATTGTGTTATTTGTTTGCCTCAAAAACAAGTTTTAAGCCCTATTAGAGTAAAAAGCTTGTGTCAGGTCCCCTAGACTGTATTACAGTCTTGTAATAGTAGACACAATCATCAAAGTCAATCCTTTAATCAACATTATAACTTTTGAACAATTCTATCACTACTAGTAGGGTGATAAATAATATAAATAAACAATTAAAGTAATATTACGAACAACCTTTCGTGTAGTTTTAGTTTAACTATGAGAGAATCAGGTAGTATAAAATATAAAACTAAATGTGAGAATAATTAATTAATATAATTAATATTTACAGTCCAGTTTTACCATAAATGAATTGCTTTCTGAATTTTGTGATGAAAAATGTTTAAAGACAGAGTACGTACACTAATGCATGTCAAATGATTTTTGAACTATGTGTTACTAATTGATGTTAAAAGAATATGCTTTATTTATATTTTTATAATAGTTGATTTTAATTTAATACATGTATTTGGATAACTATGCTGTATTGATTACCTTTGATTATTTATCTCCTTAAGTCATAAATAAGTACTTAATGGCATACAATAAAGTACATAAGTATTTTATTGCATAAAACACTCTTCAATAGAAAGGAAATGGTGAACAGATGCATGGGCAATCAATAAGTTATAAAAACTGAAACTAAAAAGTTACAACAAAATACACCAAGAACAGTACAATTGAGAGAAAGTTACCAATTCAAAAAAGTTAGAAAAAAAATTTAAATGAAGATCTTGAAGCAAAATTTACAAAATTTACTGTTTCATAGATGTACAAAGAAGTCAATGGCATTATTTTTAATTCCCTAAAAGAACATTGACAGCTTGATCTATATTCTGCACCTATCATCACTCCAATAATACTTTTTTGGACTTAACTTTGCTAATACCCTTTGAGTTTCCCCACAGAACAATTCCATATCGAAGCAGAGAGTGTATTATAAGCATAATAAATAGTCCCTATAATACTAAAAAGACTACAGTTTGCTTAGATTAAATTTTTGTATGATTTAGAAGGTGTAATCTATGAGCGAGATGTGTTTTAGCTGCATCAAAAAGAAATCACCCTACAAGCTTTAGCCAGATGAATCTTATTCATCTTTGTTACTCATTTCCTATGTGTGAATAGTCCATCTTTCATATTGCAATAATAATTTTATTACATTTAAAAATACTTCACTTCTTTCTCACTTTTATCAGCAGCCTACATAGTACTACTGCATTCACTTATTACTTTCAAAAAGTATTAAGAAAGAAATTAGTTTTAGAAAGTATGGTTTTCGTCAACATTTTCGAGTTTCAGTTTTGAGTGGATTTAGGCCTACCCGTTTTGAGTCCCCCTGTGCCCAAAAACGTGGTTTTTGAAGTGATGTCTGTCCATGTGTATGTGTGTGTATGTGTTGTCTGTCTGTGTGTGTATGTGTGGTGTGTGGGCTACATAGCTACAGACCACACCTGTTGTCCGATTTTGATGAAATTTGTTATGTAGGCACTAATCTATAGTATCTCCAGCCGTATTCTTTTGAAATTTTGATTTTTCATGGTGATTTCTCTATGAAACCCATTAAATAACAGAAAAATTGGATTTTCTCGAAAACTGCCTGAGCAATTTTTATGGACAATTTTCATGTTGTAGTCCTTTAAATTCTGATCAAAATGGTACAAATAACATTTCCGTAAAAGTTAAGGTTCCAAAGTTGTAACCTATGTTATTTTCCAATAAAAAACCCATAAATTAACAACAAATTGGATTTTAAGAAGGTTTTGATTAAAACTAATGTGTTGTGGTCCTTATAATTCTAAACAAAATAGCCCAACCACCATTGCTGAAACAGTTGCGGTTCAAAAGTAACTTTTGTGATTTTTTCTATAAAATATCATAGTTACTTTCACGGCCTACCCATGTTAAAAGTTGTTGAAAAGCTAATGGGATAACGTATGTGTCAATTGCTGATACCGTTTATTTATAATATTTATTGCAAAAATCATAGAGGTTTTTTACAATTACAATTAAAATTACAGTATCTTTGTTTGATGATACTATTGTGTTTATATTTCTTTTAAACAAATACTTTGTTAAAAGTTTCATGTGCTAACACCCACCATACTCGTCTACAGGAAGTTCTGCTTGTAAACCAAGTTGATTCTACCTGTATTATGCAAATAATTAAATAGACTTATTAGCCAGAGTACTCTTGCCATTGTGTATTTTGTATTGTCAAAGTTTACTCTAACTTCCTTTCAGGTGTTTAATGTTTCATAGTCTTGGCTGGTAATTAACTTCCCCTTGCTCTTTGTATAAGTATCTCAATATTAAACTAGTAAAAAAAAAACAATAAATAAACATTTTTTTTTACATATTTGTAGCATAGATTACAGCTATGCGAGGACCAGTTTGGACAAATCAATAGTACAGTAAAACCCTTCCCTAATTAATAATTGAGATTCTGGGTGGTCAGTGATATTATAAAAATATGGGTTTTAGGGAAAGTATTGTACAAATATTTAGCATTTTGCCCCTTCAAGTCAAGTTACGAAATTGGGTAAAGTTATCAGAATAACCCTAAAGTGAACATCCTGTGAAAAGAATGACCTTGGCAAAGGCCTTTGACATTGATGAGTTTATAACTCATGCTAAGAATAGAATAAGAAAAATGATTTTTTAATGTCTTCCAAAGAGTTTTCTTGTTAAATGGGTATTTCTAGGTTGTGTTCAGTACATTGAGTAAAAAAAAAAAAATACTTTCATCAAAGAAAACCATTTTTTTCTGTGCATAATGATAAGCAATAAAAATATGAAACCCTTTTACAAGAGTAAATACAACAACAATTTTTAACTTGCTCTGAAATTGTTTTTTTTTATATTTTTCATTAAACTTTAAAAATATAAAAATTGCTCTTGAATTTTATAGAAGTGTAAAAATTAAAATTTGTATATTTTGTTTTTACCATAACAAACTATTTCATGACTATGGAGGTAAAATACCATGTCATAAGGCCTACTTATGAATATTCAATGGCTCGGGAAAACTGCTCGAGTTACAGCAAGTTTCTGTTTAGTGTTTGTTGAAACTCAAACAGAAAGCCATGCGTGCAAATTGCAACCTAGAATATAGGCTGTGTTATCTTATACTGTCAATTAGTGTTGACTAATATACAGTTTATAAACTAAAATCAACAATATGAGTTGTTCTCTAGATCGAAACATAAACATGTAACATCACATTGTTTCAAAACCTCATTACGCTTCATAGAGATCTGCTTCATAGAGATCTGCTTCATAGAGGTCTGCTTCATAGATTGGTCGTGGTCTTGAAAGATTGTTTGGAAAATTGTTACATACGTACTCTTACCAGGTATAGTTGTTGAAGTAAATAATTTATTTATTAATACAATTATTTTGCCCTAAAACTATGCTTGAGTTTAGATTAAAAAAAAATAATAACCACTCAATAGGTTGGTTAGTAAATTGGTTAGAGTGCTTGCCTTTTAGTCTTGGAAAATGCTAAGACAATGGGAAAATGTGAAGTTTTATGCAGCTATAATGTTCATTATGCCACTAAATGCTACTTTTACTTAGGGTATTGGCTAAAAGAGTTTTTTAACAAATAAAATATATTCATGTTTTCATAGTTTAACCACTCTTTGTAATGGAATGTCATGATTCCTATTCTAATTAGTTACTAATTAAATTGTTTAATAATAATACTTTATCGTCTTGACAATTTGTTTTGTAATTGACATAGCAAGTAATTAATTCCAAGGCTTTGTTTTAATTGAAACACATTATAATTTTCTATTTTTTTTATTTGATGCATTCTTTCATGAAAGCCTTCAATGGAATAGATTGGATCTTTTGTGAGGATTTGTTTTTATTTTGTTTTGTATTCTTAATTTTAAGTTTTGAATACTAATCGGTAATTTGTTAAATCATTTTCTTCCATTGTAATGAATATGTTTTTCATAAAACTTTGTTTTGTGGAAAGTAGAAGATAATATTTGTAATTTTCCCAAACTATAATCCGCCACACATTGTTCATCGTTTTCCACAATTTTCTTTAAAAATAGTAATTTTTTGTAAATATATATTGAGTAAATGGTCATTAACTGGTAATTTCTGAATACTTTCTGATATAGGATTGGCGGGGTTTCAATTTAAAAATAATTCTTAATGCAGACTTTTGTAATTTAAATATTTGTTTAGTTTTGGGTGAAGTTGAGCCCAATATGTATAGCATATCTAATTTTGGGAAATAAATAACAAATTATATACAGTCAATAACAGAGCATAGACAATCTTCTTAGTTTACAAATAATCTGGGAAAGTTTTTTACATACATGCTCAATTTAAAGGATGAAATATTAAGGGAATAGCTGATATGTTTGTTCTTTGCTTGGGTAAACTTTTTAATATACAGTAGTAAAATATATTGATCACCTGTGAAATAGCAGTGAAAATTACTAATAATCATCGGATGATGAAAATAAACTACAGATGGTATATGGCAAACAATTATTTAAAATTGAATGTCCATGAGAATTATATTGGAACTTTAAGTCTTCTAGGATCCAACCCTTGGGTGAAACCGTTATGAAAATACATAACATTCCTTTTTTCTATCTGTTTAATGAGTATACTGTACTGAATTCCAGCCTTCTAGCTAGTCGGGAAGTTGGACGATTCCCCTTTTCTCCAGGGAAATTTTATGTGAGGCAAACCTTTCCATCGATGTTTAGTGAAATACGAGTCTCACCAGTGGCGGTTCCAAGGGGGGGGGGGGGCTTTACATAAAATTTCCCTGGAGAAAGGGGAATCGTCCCGACCCCTCGGACCCTTGATATATAAATTAAAACATACATTTCGAAATATAAATGTAACGGCAGTTTTTTAGACACAGTTATAGAATTTAAAATAGCTTTAAAAAGTCACCAAACCACTTCAAGATTAGCAAATTTTCTGGAGGAGGACCCCCAAACCCCCCTCCTGGTTTGGGACATCCCCGTTAGCCCCCTCCCTTGACATGGACCTAGAACCGCCACTGAGTCTCACCACATTTTCTCATAATCTGGAATCTTGAGATTGAGATTCAGGGTAAAGGGACAAGAACTTTACTAAATAGTACAAAGCAGGCAACTACCAGATCCTTATTAAATTTTCTGAAACTTGTGTTTTACCATCGAATATACAGTATAGTCTGTTCACAAAATTTAGGCGGTTTCTGGGGAAGTTCCCCCACCTGCTTAATGTATGTTGCAGCTGATGTTGCTGTGTTTTGACACAAATCTCTGCTTTTGATCTATGTTTTAATGGTAGGATCAAGACGTGGAGGGAAAAGATTTCTTTCCCTAAACTGCCTACATTTTGTGAACGGAGTATATACAATATATTATGTACCATAGTCAATAATGTTTTTACTTTAGTTACGGGAAATGTCTGCAAAATCCTAGGAGATATATTAAATTTCATACCCAAATATTTACTTGAACTAAACTGTATACTGTCATATACTTTTTAACTGCATACTGTATATTCTGTAGAACCAATTTCTTTAGAAGCTATGGTATTTGTAGTAACATGGATTAAAATTAAGTTGTATTTCAGGGCAAAGAAGGTAATTTACTTAATGACTGGAAAGAAATTATTAATTTATTACTATCAACTATAATTTTTTACTTTCCAGATTGTTAAAATGGAAGCAGACCCTTCCATGAACCATCTTTCATTTATGTTAAAATATTACACATATCTTGTCCTGGGAAGAAAAGAAATCACCGAGGTTTTGTGTTTTTGTGAACTCTTGATGCTCGGGGGTTTTCTTGTATCAACGCTTGCCTGCTTCGATGGAAAAGAAGAAAATATCTTGAAGGCACATGATGCGTTAATCCTTTTCACGGCTTTTCTATTGGAGCTATTAATAAATAGGAAGAGGAATATGGCTCGCAAAATGGTGGAGAAAATACTCGAACACAGACAAAATCATGAAACTAGCTCTGCTCACTCAAAAATAGTTAGAGAATTTACAAAAGAAATGAATCTATATTGCAAAGTAGTCACCACAGTCTACATTGCAGGAGCTTTGCTTTACTGCACTGTCTCTGCGCACCTAACATTGAACAATCCAGAGGAATCTGACAGAGAATACGTACACCTGGTTATAGGATGGGTTCACAACTCCAAATATTACTTTGTTCTATTATTCCTCAACGCTCTCTGCATGTTCATTTTATTTACAACAGTTTTTCAATGGTTCTTAATTGTTTACTGCATGATTCTAAAAATTAAATGCCAAATACGCCTCCTCTGTTCTGACTTGGATGCTATCAATGACTATTTTGATGAATTCAAAAACTATTTAGAAAGTAACCCAAGTGATGGGCTGGTGGGTCGATTGAAAACATCACTGAATTTCAGCAGAAAAAATGAAAATGAAACTGAGACATTTGAGGGGAAAACTAAATCTTCATTCAGAAGTTTGAGTCTTCTTAAAGTCAACAGGGGGAAATTTATTGAGGAACAAATCAAGCTGTACTTCAAGAGTATTGTTCAACAACACATACAAATAATAGAGTAAGTGCAAATTGTTTCTATTCTAGATGATTAGATTTATGTCAAGGTAAAATCACAACCAAATATTTTTGGTAATAGAATGTTCCTTTCTTGCTGCTGATGGTATCATATGTGGCCCTGGGAAGGGTTTCATTATATTTTCATGAATCATGAAAGCGTCACCCGCTTATGAAATTATGAAAGGATCTGCAAAAACCTGGTAAAGATTTCTCAACATATAACTTCAAGGTAACTGCTAATGGATCTTTCACATCTTATTGATTCAAGGAAATTTGTATTCTGTTTTAAAATTTCAGGACCTATTAATGTTACCAGCAATTCAAAATCAGAGTTTGACATCCGAGTAACGATACGTCCAGAGTGCACGTCGATTCAGATTCAGATTCAGATTTTCCGCGCTTGGTTAATCTGAGTCAGATATTTTGTTAATGGCCACAGTGGAGGCAGGAAATACGCCGCCGGTACTGACTCGGTTTGCAAAGAAACAAGTCACTCGTTATGGAATTAACGTGCAAAATTATAGCGTCTGAAACTGTTGTAAAGTTACAACCAGTGAAAAATGGTGTTCATGATATTATATATCTCTTTTCCTATAGCTAGAAATGATAGACCTTCTTTCTATATTGCGTTGAATGGAGCCCGAAACCATTGAAACTTATTATTAAAATTGGATATCAAGAAACTGGTGTAACCTACATCCTGAAAAATTCCTGAAGACCGTTTAGTGGTGACCCTAAGAGTAAGAATGGAAAAATATATATTTTACTATAAAAACATAATTTATTTAACTAAATAGTTTGCGTACGAGAAATATCTGAATCTGAAACCAGAATGAAGAATTCATTCCGGTAAGCAGGTGCCTGCGCGCGGGCTCGGAAACCGGCAGCCACTTCCATTTGGATGCAAGTGCCATTCCTTCCGCCGAAAATCTGAATCTGAATCGGCATGCACTCTGGACGTACCGTAACGCTGGAGAACAGGCAACCAGCTTTCAAGTCTGCTCTGAAGTACCAGTACTGCCCACTATATTCGTATTGTCTCCTTAATAACTCTCTTTAGTACAATTTAGTACAAAAGTATAACATACAGTGTAAACCTGTTTGGTGAGTTATGGAGTTTTAATACAGTTAACAATTCTTGAACTTTTTACAGAAATGTGAAAGTGGCAGACATAACTTTTCGCCTTTCTATGATGATAAGTGTCCAGCTTGGTGTAATGATTGTGGCAATGACAATTCCTGGTTTGGTGAGTTAGTTCACACACACATGCACTTAGCAGATCTCATAGATATATATTGAAGATATTTATGAATATGTTGAAAAACAGCAAAAACACAACTGTTTTCTTAACTGTGAAAATTTATTTCTTATGTCTGTTTGATACTTTTAACTATTAATTGTTTATCTCTACTATTGACTACCTTTTGACGTAGCCCAATTAATTACCAACCAATTAAATATAATTTTGTCAGTAGATCTGTACATCGTATTTTTGTGTGAACAATGATCGTAGCCCAATTAATTACCAACCAATTAAATATAATTTTGTCAGTAGATCTGTACATCGTATTTTTGTGTGAACAATGATTTCTGGTGCTTAAATTGTGTAAAAAAAATTGTACAACCCTCTCATTTCTGTATTAGAAAATTAAATGGTTGTAATCTTGGATTTTGTAACTCACTAACAATGATTTTTAGGAACACCTTAATTGTGAACAAGTAAAGTTAGTCTTGATGGGTTTCAATAATCAAGACATAACATTTCTGTGTGAAAAGCAAAAATGGTGAATGTAAATAATTAAGGACTTTGACAGCTTAATCATAATATATAATAGTATTTGCATTAAGTTCTGAGCCAGAAAGTGAGTTATAAAAATAAATATCCTTGGTAAATATTATTGTTATAGACAAAGGGAGAGATTACGGTCTCATTATTGACCCAACAATTTGTCTCGAGACAACTGAAAGACAGCCAAATAAGGAAGTACATGAAGAAAAAGTGAAAATATATGAGAAAACTATCCCCTATTATTCGGAAAAATATCAAAATTTGAAGTTTGTGGATTACTCATTGGTTCAAGAGGCCACACCTAAACTCAAACTCTCACTTGTTAGCTGCTGAGAGCTAACACCCTTCTGTCACCTTCTGCCACTGGGTGTTGGTCCACCTACAGAACCAAGTGATGAACTAAAGTCTAAGGTGTAATGTGATGGACATGAATTCATTAACAAGTCCCGCAATTTTGGAAGAAATTCAATTTTGAAAATCAAGTGCTATATCTAATAGGTATCTTTGACAGCCATAACATTTTCTATTAAAACATTATAAGAAACCAAACCACCTTTGTAACAATAATCAATTAGGTTGAACAAACTTTTCAATTTTTTTATGTCATATTATTATTTGTTCTACAGCACACTACAATGTGTAGTAAGGTTAATTGTTTTAATAAATTTGAATAGGTATATATATAAATACTGAACAGCCTTATATCTTAAATTTGTAGGGAGGGAACGTTCCAACCCAAGAATTATTCCACCGAGGGATAGAAGTCTTGGAGATCATAGGAAGTATTGGGCTTTTCAACTATTTCGGCCAAATGGTTATTGATCAGGTAAGAAGTGTGTATAACAGATTGCAAAATTAATGATTTAATGAATGAATAACCAGTTTATTCCAAGAAACAACATTGACAAATTTAAGTTGTGTTTATTGTGTTGCAGAGTGTAAGATAAACAAATCATACACCATTGTATGATATTTTTGTACATTGGTGCCTTGCGATAAAGATTGATTTGATTTGAAGAGTTTTTCTACACATTACTGAACATACATTTTGTGTTTTTATTAGCCCAAAAAATTAACAAAAATAGCAGACATATAGTCAGTGCGTCCCCTAAGTTGCTGTACGATAAAAAAAGAAGCTATTTTTCATGGAATAGTAATAAAAATGAGTGTGACAATTGACAGTCCCAAGTGCAGTAATTTTTGCTGTTTTCCACGACTATTCACTAACACGACATTCACTACTAAGTGTCACAATCCTTCTCATACAAAGGAGTGTGTCGGCTGGAAGGCAACGTGTTATCCAAACTTTCAACAGCTTCAGATAATCGCACAATATCACAAATTACCGGTATTCATTAAATTTAAAAAAATAAACTGTAAACAATCATACTTTGACAGTTTTCATTGAGTATCACAGCTTTTAGTTGCTGCTTAGTTCAAATTAGCTGTTTTCGTAAATGCAAAAAAAAAATAGGGCTACACCCCGTTGGTAAACCTTGTAACTTTTTAATGCTATTTAGTACAGTCAATCCGTATCCAACGTGGACAAAAATGGCGCCCGGGGAATTTTGTCAGAAATTTTTTGCTTACTAGCTGTTGTACCCGTGTTTCGCAACGGAGAGGACACTGAAGCAAGTAAACATTGAGTCAGAGTTAAAATTTTTAAAACTGTACATTAATGTGCATATATCTCTGAGCTATTAATCCCGATCCAAACATTTGTTTATTAGTTCAAATTTTTAAACAAAAAGCTAACGTATCAAAATTATTTCAAAAAAATTATACATAGAATGATCCTTCTGTTTCCATGAAAATAAGTATATTTTCATAAATATTTTAATCAAACTATTCTCATAATTATAAGTTAAGCTTGGGAGCAGAACCTGCTGTTTGAACTGTCAAATATTATTTACAGCTGACTTCAATTAATATTTTTTGCTATTTACATTCTTCCAATATGTAATCATTGAAACTTTGGAAGCCCATGGGGCGTAGCCCTAGGGAAATATAATGACAGGAATATGCCTATATGTTAACCAGGTATATAAGCTACCTTCATTAGAAATTTTATTTTAATCGTTTCAGTGGTTCTTGCGTTATTAGGTAACAGACAGACACACACACACACACACAAACACACACAATCTCATTTTAGCGAATTTCCCATATAGGGAATAAGCTATTACCGTAGTACTCATGGTAAGACCTGGACCCGGGACCGATTTTTTTTTTCGTTTTGAGGTCCCTAGAGGCCAAAAACACCATCCGTTCAAATTCATATATATATATATATATATTTATATATATATGTGTCCGTTAGCGCGATAACTCGAGCAAAAATGATCCGATTTTGATGAAATTTGGTACAAACGTGTAAACCTACGTTTATTCGAACGAGTTCGCGAACCAGCATGATCGGACCATGGGAACGGGGGTTTATGGGGGCTTTTATGGGGTAAAAATGGGTTTTTCCCATTTTTGACCAAAAACACATAAAATTTTGCAATTTCTTTCCAAAGAATTTTGTAGAGCTTAAAAAAACAAATAATTTAGTATATTGAAGCGTTATAATGCGCCTAATGGTTACGGAGAAAATTCCATAAAATTGTAAATTTAAAATTCCCATGTTATTCTTATGGAGAATAAGTAAACTGTTGTAGTTTGCTTGTATATTAACATATTTTGCCCAAATTTGGAAAATGTTTTTATTTCTTACTAACTATTAACATTTTACATAAAAAAAACACTTTTACCCTCCCTGTTGCAGCAAACCTAAGTATGTGTTAAACTGATTCTATTTAAATAGGGAATAAATGTGATATTTTTAAGGAGACATTTGAGTTTAAATCCAATCAGGCAAATGGAAATTCGCTTAGTCTGCAGGTTTGCTGCGGCGGGGGTATTTATACTGTATATTTAGTATAGATCATAGAACCAAATTAAATAGTTGAAACAGCTGACTAAATTCTTTAATTCCTTTTAAGTATAAATACTCATAAGGCTAACATGGGGAACTACAGAGCCACTGGGGCGGAGCCCGAGAGGATTTTTGAGTTAAGAATATGCCCATATGTTTATCGGGAATGTGAGCTATCATCATGCCAAATTTTAGCCAAATCCGTCCAGTGGTTATTGAGTCATATCAAACAAACAAACACACAAACTTTCTCATTTATAATATCAGTACCTATGTATTCAGAAACAGTCAAACTCCGGGAAATGGTTCTATGGTTTAAAATAAAGAGAATATCGAGAATTATTTTTCCCAAAAATTGCTCAGTTAACCAGACATCCGTCATTTGGTATTTTTCTTATCTTTGGATTGTTCCAACCAATCTTTATGAAACTTTTGGTTTGTATGTTAAGTTAGAAGAGACCAATGCTAGAAAAACAAGCTATCTTGATTCTGTAAAAATTTCAAAATGGGGACCATTTTAATTTCCTATAATCAAATTTTAAAAATTGCAGATTTTATGAAAAAAGGTCAAGGGCACTTGTATTTAGCATTTCAAATTTCCAGTCAGAATCACTTCGCCAAGCTCTGTACAACTGTGACTGGACAGACAAACCTCACAGTTTGAGGCGAGGACTGCTCATCATGCAGATCATGGCATCCAGACCTCTCAAACTGACCATCGGCGGCATCTACACACTCAAACTGGAGACTTACGGACATGTAAGATGTGTACAGCTTTGCTAAGTTTAAGCTTCAAAATGGTCTTACTATCGATGAAGCGCTTACAGGCTATTTTTTGTTTGCACCTTCAAGATAGCATACCTACTGCGCATGATCTTTGACTAGAATTCTGCATTCAAGAGTTAGTAAGGGTGTTATTTCAAGGTCCTCCGCCATCAAGGCCTGCTATTGTCAAAACCTCTCATTCGCATTCCTCTGAATCGTATACAAAAATTAGAAAGGTTCATAAAAGGTTTAATAAAAGTGTGGAGTGACCTAATAATCATAGTAACAATAAACAAATACATACATTATAAAAATGTGGTTCCTAAGCGAATCAGTTATTGTTGCAGCCTTTATACTGTGGACGAGTATTCTATTTAAAAGTAGGAGACTTTTTCTTGGCCGGTCAGGCCAAACTGTTCCGTTGTCCATTGGTGACAAAGTCTCCCGGCGCCAAACCCATCCAAATCCCCTCTACCTACCACTGAGCTGGTCTAGATCATTGACTATATAAACGTTATATACTTATATAGTCAATGTCTAGATCAACAATTTCGCATCACAAATCGTGGGTCTGGTTGTTGGTGGTTGACGTTGTCGGTGGCAAACTTTGGCTAGTTTCTTCAAATTTGGCATTAGTATTCTTACTCCCCCTTTTTCTTTTTTCATGCACCAATTGCGGGGTCCCCTGAGCCCTGAGGTGAGAGGTTGTGTGGGGCCGCACCTTTCGCTTGTCCTAATTAAGGCTGCGCTAAGGCACGCTCTGTCTTCATTGGTCCCTATAAGTTTTAATGAATAACCAGAATCCTGGCTGAAGAACTAGGTGATGTTAGACAGTAACCAAAAGTTGATTCATTCTTCACTCATCTTTGCCTTAAACTGTGCCTCCTGCCTGACGTGTCAGTAATGTTCTCATACCACCACACAAGTGTCTCAATGTCATAACACCGTGAGTGTCTCGATTTCATACCACACAAGTGTCTCAATGTCTTACCATAATGAGTCTCTCAGTCATACCACCATGAGTCCCTCAATTTCATACCACCATTAGGGTCTCCATGTCATACCATCATGAGTCTCTCAATGTCATACCACCATTAGGGTCTCCATGTCATACCATCATGGGTGTCTCATTGTTATACCACCATTAGGGTATCCATGTCATACCACCATTAGGGTCTTCATGTCATGCCATCATGGGTGTCTCCATGTCATATCACCATTAGGGTCTCCATGTCATACCATCATGAGTCTCTCAATGTCATACCACTATTAGGGTCTCCATGTCATACCATCATGGGTGTCTCATTGTTATACCACCATTAGGGTATCCATGTCATACCACCATTAGGGTCTTCATGTCATGCCATCATGGGTGTCTCCATGTCATATCACCATTAGGGTCTCCATGTCATACCATCATGGGTGTCTCATTGTTATACCACCATTAGGGTATCCATGTCATACCACCATTAGGGTCTTCATGTCATGCCATCATGGGTGTCTCCATGTCATATCACCATTAGGGTCTTCATGTCATGCCATCATTGGTGTCTCCATGTCATACCACCATTAGGGTCTTCATGTCATGCCATCATGGGTGTCTCCATGTCATATCACCATTAGGGTCTTCATGTCATGCCATCATGGGTGTCTCAATGTCATACCACCATTAGGGTCTTCATGTCATGCCATCATGGGTGTCTCCATGTCATATCACCATTAGGGTCTTCGTGTCATGCCATCATTGGTGTCTCCATGTCATACCACCATTAGGGTCTTCATGTCATGCCATCATGGGTGTCTCCATGTCATATCACCATTAGGGTCTTCATGTCATGCCATCATGGGTGTCTCAATGTCATACCACCATTAGGGTCTTCATGTCATGCCATCATGGGTGTCTCCATGTCATACCACCATTAGGGTCTTCATGTCATGCCATCATGTGTGTCTCCATGTCATACCACCATTAGGGTCTCCATGTCATACTATCATGGGTGTCTCCACGTCATACCATCATGAGTCTCTCAATTTCATACCACCATTAGGGTCTCCATGTCATACCACCATTAGGGTCTTCATGTCATGCCATCATGTGTGTCTCCATGTCATACCACCATTAGGGTCTTCATGTCATACCATCATGAGTCTCTCAATGTCATACCACCATTAGGGTCTCCATGTCATACCAAGAGTGTCTTAATTTTAAACGGCTCCGAGTGTCTCATTTGTTATTATATTAACAACCTTATAAGTGATAGTGTGTTGGATCCACCTAGTCATATCCCATTAATTTTTATTCTGACATTTTTTAACTCATAATATAAAACTTACTTAGTTCTTATATTAATTAAGTATCAGGTATAGGTTGGCTAACATTATGGATAATCAAGTATACATATTTCACTGGTAAATTATTTATTTGTATTCACTTTAATTGATTTTTTACAGATATTAAGTACCACCTACTCTTACACGAGTATGATCCAGTCTTTCAACTAGACATGCAAATGAATATACAAATGGATGAAGAGTGTATTTAAGGTTAACTTAAATTTCAAGATATTTAAAATAAACATTTAGCCTAGTTGTATTTAACTTGTAACTCAATGATCGTCTGTAAAGGTTGTGTGTCATTCTTTTATTTTACATCATCATCCTTCTACAGAACTATTTCCTTGAGTTAGAAAAAGGTGGAAGTAAAATATAGATTGTTAACAATGAAATTTTAAGTGTAATGTTTACACTTTTTACTTATTTTGTTGCAGTTTATTATGGAAATAAACTCATGAAAATAACTTATGGTGGTAATAATTGGATATGAAAACCCCTCCAAACCATTGCAGGTACTTCCGGTTCTAAAAATGTTTTGCAACTCTAAATTGAAAACCAGATAAAAACATATCCACAAGCAAAAACTATAATGAGGACTAAGGATTACAATTTTATTCTTGACCTTGACCATACCATATTTTCTATGAAAGTGCTTAGATCGATTCAAATTCCTTCAAAACACATCAATCACATTAAGATTGCATGTTAAAATGTGGGTTCAAAGGTAACTAGTCAGTGAATTTAGTCAGATAGATATTGTTCTTGCTTGTTTAAAGTTGATGCGGTTAGTTTTTTTGAACCAATTCTTTGTGTTGTATATTCTATTGGATTACTGCATGGATTAAATTCGATTTTCCATAACTGACGATTCAATTAATAACAAGTGATGATTTTGTTAACATTCATCTTCATAATAATTCAATCCGTAAGACAATAATAATGGTTATTTGTGTAACTAGTGTGTGTTGCATTCGCGTTACACATTATAAATTTTGTCTAGAAGAACCGAAGAACGTTTAAACGTTCTAGAAATTGTAGCTCATCTTTGTGTCTAGTTCATGTCCGGTTACACTGATTGGTAGTGTCAACAACATTTTTTTTTAATTTTAATGTTAATTTAATGATTTGTGCTTTACTATTTGGTTACCATATATATAACTAGAGGTATATAACTAGAGGGAGAGTTATTGTTTCGATAGTTATAGGATTCGATAGTTTTATTTGGTTGGTTAAAAGACTGAAATACTGTAACAAAAAAAAATTTAAACAAAACCTGTACAGTACACTAGACAGAACTCAATAGAGTTGGCTTTCCCCTGTTCCATAAGGATGGGAACTTTACTAAGGGAGTGTGTTTTATCTATGGTAAGGGCAAGGCCACCTTTAACTCCAGGCTGCGGCCTAAGTAGTGTTGTTACAGGTGTTTGGTTTGCAGGCAGCTATGGTATTTGTGTATTTTTACTTTCTCGCCTATACATAGTATAGTATATGGAGAAAGTATATTGTTTTCGTCACAATTTTCAAGGTTGAGTTTAGAGTGCATACGTCCGTTTTGGGTCCCCCCTGGACCCAAAAAAGTGGTTTACGAAGTGATAATACAAGAAATACTTTATTTGCAATCTTTAAGATTGAAAGGGCGTCAATACAAGTTGTGCAGTTTGTAATACATACAAGTTGTTAATTAAAAAAAAAAAAAAAAAATGCTGATTAGAGTTATTGCAGTAAAGACATGATTTATTCAAGTTCTTGTCAAGACAAATATTCATCCAGACTGATGTCTGTGTGTGTGTGTGTGTGTGTGTGTCTGTATGTGTGGATATGTACAGAGCTACAGACTACACCTGTGGTCCGATTTTCATGAAATTTGGTATGTAGGTACTAAACTATGGTATCTCCAGACGTTTTTTTCATATTTTTTTAAATTTTGATTTTTTATGTTGATTTTCCAAAAAACTCATAAAATAACGGGAAAATCAGATTTTCTCGAAAATGGCTCGAATGGTTTTGATAAAAAATTTGTATGTTGTAGCCCTTTAGTTCTGAACAAAATGGTAGCCTATAACTCCCATTCCTGCAAAAAATTACGGTTCAACAGTTATAGTAAAATTATGTTATTTTCCCACAAAACCCCCGTAAAATAAGAAAAAAAAATAATATTTTCCCAAAAAGCCGGTTTTCATTGAAGTTAGTATGTGAAAATCCTTGTGATTCTGAACAACATAGTGCAACCCCCCATTCCTGTAAAAATTTCGGTTCAAAAGTTATTGTAACTTATGCTATTTTCCCATAAAAACCCATAAAAAACCGAAAAATTGATTTTTTGAAGAAGAAAAACAATTCTGATTTAATTGCATCCATAATGGTCCTTATAGTTCTAAACAAAATAGTGCAACCCCCATTCCTGTTAAAATTACAGGAACATTAATCAGCATCTACATAGCATGACAATTTCAATTCTTTTTCCACCCCTAATTTTAATTTCTTGTCAATAGTAGCCTACTTTTCATCTTATTATTCGCTTTACAGCATTCCAATCACTTCGAGTGGGTTTTTCAACTCTTCTAGCTAGAATTCCAACAGCTGACAAAATATCCGGTCTTGAAGTCACAGCAAGATAAAGAAGTGATCCTACTGCCTTCCTGTACATGTACATCTTGTTATCCATCAGATCTGGTGACATAGCTGTTGAGTTGATATATCCAACTTCCATTGGCGTTCTTGCTGGTTTACTATTTTCCAGCCCATGTTCATTTATGACTTTATTTATTTTTCTTCTTTGGTGAATGTAAAAGTCTCCATCCATCTTATCAATTGCAACTCCTAAGTAGGTGTGAACAACTCCTATAAGTCTTTCATTTCAAAGCATTGTGTCAGTTTTTGAAATGTTTTCTTGACATTTTCAATTGATCCAACACACAAAATGCCACCAACATGAACCACTACATATGTATAATTTCCATCAGCATTACTCGTATATAATTAGGGGTCAGAATATTTTTTTTCAAATCCCATGCTCATCATTGTTGTATTCAGTGTTTCATTCCAGGCCCGAGCTGCTTGTTTTAGCCCATAAATTGATTTCTTTAATTTATAAACTTTATCTTCATTACCTATCAGATTTCACAAAACCTTCGGCCTGTTGCATATATATTTCTTCTTCTAACTTTCCATTTAAAAAGGCTGTTTTTACATCAAAATGATGCACAGTCAGATCTTTTGTCGCTGCTATGGTTAGTAAAATTCTTACTGTTGTTGAATTAACAACAGGAGCAAATATTTCATCATAGTCTTCTAAATATGAGTAACCTTTGGCTACTAAACATGCCTCATAGCGCTCAACCATACCGTCATCTCCATACTTTGCTATAAAAATATCCATTTACATCCAACTGCTGTTTTCTGTAGGGGTAAATCTACAAGTTCCCATGTATCATTTTTTAATAAGGCTTCCATTTCTTCTTGAGCTGCTACAACCCATTGATTTTTCTCAGGTTCAGGCAATTTATCCAATTGTATCCAAGATTTTGGTTCAATCACATTTCCCTGAGCTATTAATGATAGTCTGTTAGGAGGAACACCTTTTGTTTTTCTTTCAGATTTTCTTACTTTCAAGTTAATATCATTATTCTGATGATCATCTCCATTATTATTCCCATCAATCATCATATATGGCTCGTCATGTTCAATCTCTTCCATTTCATTTGATGTTCTTTAGTTTCATTTGTTGATGTTTTCCTATCTTCAAGTACAAGTACATTTTTCTCATCAGTACCTTTTGGTTGATCAACTTGAACACTTCTTTGATTTTCTTCGACCTTTTCATGTCTTTGGAGTAAACTGTCTACAGGCAATACCCTAATGCTTGAATTAGTATGATTTACATCGACATGTGGAAAGGAAGATGTGTCAAAAACTACATCTCGAGTTGTAATTATTTTCCTATCTTCAGGTAACCACATCCTCCAGCCCTTTGATACATCTGAGCAACCAACATATTATATCCCTTCTTTTGCTCTTGGTTGAAACTTGTCATTTGTATTGTCAATGATAAAACCTTTACAATCAAACTTTTTTAGATACGAAACATTTTGAATTTTCCTGTACCATCTATCATATGGTAATACACCATCAATTGCATCTGATGGGCATCTATTCCTAACATGAGCTGCTGTTGCAACTGCTTCTGCCTGAAACGTTTGAGGAAGATTTGCTTCAATGAGCAAACATCTTGCCATGCCATTGTACGATTCATCTGTTCAGCCACTCCGTTTTGTTGAGGCGTTCAGCTACATGTTAATCTTCTCTGAATACCATTACAATACAAAAATCCATCGAACTCTCTGTTAACATACTCTCCTCCATTGTTTGTTTAAAGATATTTAATTTTTTTTCCTGTAAAATTTTCTACTTTGTTCTTGTACTTTTTGAAAGAATCTAATGCATCACTTTTCTTCTTCAAAAAGTAAACTTCAAACACATCTTGAGCTATCATCAATAAAAGTAATGAAATATTGAGATTTTCCATGTGACTCAGTTTTCATTGGTCCACAGATGTCAGAGTGAATAATGTCCAGCACTTCAATATGTTCTTTCACTTTTAGGAAAGGGTCTTTTTGTTAATTTTCCTTGAATACACACCTCGCATTGTGGAATAAGCTCTTTTGTGTTTACTTTAATACCTTTAACCATACCTATTTAAATTGATTATTCTTTTCGAGTCTCCAAAGTTCAAGTTTCCAAAATGTTGGTGCAAGACAATAGACTTGATTTTTTACAGCTTATATTCATTTCTTCACTACTCTCTTGTACGTAATAAAGTCCATTTAACCTATTCACACGGATCATTGTCTGTCCATTCTGATCTATTATCAAAGCAGCATCTTTTTTTAAACAAAACTTGATAGCCTAGTAATTTTAGTAACAGTAAATTTAGCTACAGACATCAGGTTTGTTCGAAGTTCTGATACATACAAGGTGTCATACAAATTAACGCTTAGATTTGTACTCCCATTTAAAATCTTCATATGTATTAACTGTTCCAACTCCTCTTGCACCAGTTAATGAATTGTTGGCAAGAGAGATACTTCTTTCATTTGCAGGCTTTAGGCTACTTGGTAAATTTACTGTTCACATGAGTCATGTGAAGTGCATCCACTGTCCACGAGTGTATATCTTTCATTGATAAGTTTCCAAAATAACAGTCATCTTCTACGGAAGAATTAAGTCTTACTTCTTCTAGTTTAGCAATCGCTACGTTTTGTTGATCTTTATTTGCTTTGGGACAAAATTTTGCTTTATACCCAATCGCTTTACATATAAAGCATCGAAACGGAAAATCAACTGATTCGGTTCTATTTCTATAAGAGTCTTTTGAAAATAGCAGAGCTTCAACTCTCTTTCTTACCATGTTCTTTTCTCGTTTCCCACTCTTCTACAATTTTTATTTTTAAAGTTTCAGGAGAAGGCAGTGCATCTCTAGTTTCAATAGCAATTCTAAAGTTTTCAAATTTATCTGACAGGGAATACAAAAGAAAAATTGTAAAAAAAAGATCCTCATTAATATCGATTTCCATTCCTTTTAATTTGTCCACCACATAAAAAAACATATTCATGTAATCTCTGAAATCATAATCAGGTGTCAGTTTCATCAAAATCAGCTTCTTTTAACAAAAAGGCTTTCCTTGCAGGTCCACTGGAATCATAAATGCTTTTTATTTTTTTCAATATCTCTGCTGAAGTGTTACATCCTTTCACTCTTGCTTTATTGGCTTGGGCTGATAGAGAGGATTATATCTGCCTTTGCCTTTACATAAGTTATTAGCCAAGCAGTCATTTTTTCACCTTCTTCTAGAGGCCTTTCAATGGTTCATATTCCTAGCACATACCCAAGTAACTCATTTTTAACTAAAATTGCTTCCATCTGCATTTTCCATGTGTCATAATTATTTCTGTTCAAAAGTTCAATGTGATTACTCATATTTCTTTCCATATTCCTCATTTAATTAAGTCTCATAATCTATTAAATTTGAATTAACTATTCTTTAGACTCACACAATAATAACATTTATTTACTTTTTTATCATAACAAAAACAACATAACAAAACAGGTAAATTGGATGATGTTGTCACTCCAACACAATATAATACTGCCCTAGCCCTAGAGTGGCAACACTGAACTCAGTCCCGTTTTAGCGAATTTCCCATAGGGATTACGCTTTACCGTAGTACATGGTAGTACCATAGATAAAACATACTCCCTTGTGTTGGTTAGTCTATGGTAGTACCAGTACTCATGGTGTAAGACCTGGACCCGGGTGCGGTTTTATTTTTTGTTTTGAGGTCAAAAATGGGATTTTCCCATTTTTGACCCTAAAAACAAACAAATTTGTAATTTCTTTTCAAACCTTTTTGTAGAGCCTAAAAAAATAAATAGTTTAGTACCGGTACCTATATAAACAGCGCTTCAGCTGTTGTATGCCTAACACGGAGAAAATTCAAAAATAGTGTCATTTAAAATTCCCATGTTATTCTTATGGATAAAATTAAAACTGTTGTAGTTTATGGGTATATATTGATAAAATTTTGCAATTTTATTTATTTCATCCTATACTATTGACGTATGGCACGGTCACAAAGGCGGCCGTGGTTAAAGGTTAAAGGTGATTAAAGGTGGCGGCCGTGGTTAAAGGCGGCCGTGCGTATGGTCCAAAAACGCTTTTTACCTTCCCCGTAGCAGCAAACCTAAGCACTCGTGAAATCTAATGTTATTTAAATTGGGAATAAATATGTCTTATTTATGGAAATATTTTAGTAAAAATGTAATCAGACAAGTTGAACTTCGTTTAGTCTGCAGGTTTGCTGCGGCCGGGGTATTGTTTTTCCTACTGCTCTGGTTGCTGGCAGTGCTGCTGGCTGAGGAGGGGCTGGAACTGGCTGAAGAAGAAGAAAAGAAAGAAAATGAATGGATGCTAGAACAAATGTCAAGTTGGAAGTTACGATAATTTCCTCAGCCGAATGAAGACACTAAGTTATTAGTTTTATGGATCTTATCAGGTAAGAAATGTAAATTTAATTTTTTCCTCTCATCTCGTCCTCAACTTTCTTCTTTGGAGAGTTCAGTGTATTTTGTGAAATAATTGTCTCTCAAAGCTAAGCGTGAAAGGTAGTTTTATCTGGGCTTATAAGTTAGGCTGTAGGCGAAAGTGTCAAATGTTGCTGTGTAGGGCTACTATGTTCAGTATTTTCGCCTATTAATTTTGACTTTTACAATAGATTAAATAATTTCTCATTCGGTTTTGACAACAGATACGGAAGTGTACCCATAAAAAATCACATAGGCTATGCCTATTTTCAAACTAGGCCTAATACAAACATTCAAATATATTTTTCCTACAGTCACCTTGCAAAGTGGGCTTCCTTGCACAGAAAGCTTTACTTTGGCGTACGGTTTTTACTTGGGCGCACACCAGTATTTCAACCAAACAACACAAAAAAGCGTGCTTTCATTAGACCTACGCACAGAGTGTTATGTGTCGTAAAATCGACACATAACACACTTTGAGTAGTGTTTTGTGTCGATTTTTCAACTCACAAACACTGTTTACGGCAAAGGCTCTATAACTGACAAAATCGGATTGAACTGGATCGAGTTAGGTATCGTTTTATTTGGCAGATTCTAAGCTTTCTCCCGAGGTCTGTCTCTAAGCGCTTTTTTTTCTCGAGCCGATCATAATTGTAGCAGACAGCTGACAAGCGTATTTGTAAACAGCTTGGTTGACCTCGCACCGATGACTGATGTGTTTTATTATGTTTATCATTGTTTTAGTGTTAAAAATCAAAAGTACCGTAGTGATATATACGTGGTGCATTATAAGAAGATTTAAGTGATTTTGAAGGGCTGGTTGATGATCCTGAAGAAGTAGGTAGTGATATTGATGTAAATTATCAGCCAGATTCCTAGCTATGGTTAGGCTATGCATTCTTAGCTAAACGCTAAGTACCTATGTACCAAAATCAGTTTTTTGCCCATAACTTATTTATTTGCAAATCTACTTCCTTATATATTATTATATTTTTGGAATCCTCGTAAAATTCTGAACAAAGTGGCTAGCCTATTTTAAAATATTTGTAGACCTATAAATTATAACAATTTATTGAGCGCAAACATAAATTTTTTTCATTTATTTTATAATTTTTGAGAAATGTTAACCCCACAAAAATTGTTGAACATTTTTTTTGTAATGTTTTATATGTTACATTGAAGCCCATAATTTTCCAAACAAAATGATATATAAAACAGTATACTTTACATTGTTTTTAAGTTTCTAAGATACATTTTAATAAAACCCTGCGATTGCGCAATAAATGGGCGAACATTAAGATAAGTCAGATATAGTCATGGAAAAAAATTCTGGGCTGCACTTTACTTTAGGTCCTACACCCATTCGAATGAAAATTTTGATCGATATATCGGTTAATCGATTGTTTCATTCGATATATCGTTTGGTTAGTTAGGTATGGTTAACCTAACCTAACTAACCAAACGATATATCGAATGAAACAATCGAATAATCAATATTTTCACTCGAATGAGTGTAGGACCTAAAGTAAAGTGCAGCCAAATTCTGGTCATTGAAAGTCATAGAAATAGGCAAAAAGTCATGGAAATCCCCAATGATGGAGGGATTTGATGGACATTTTCAATGCTCTATTCAGCCGTTATAGCATTTGTGGTTCGGATTCCATTATAAATTGTAGGTCCCTCAGTTGCCATTTGCTTATTAATTAACTGCTGTGTCTAAGGGAAAATGTCGGCATTAGTCACTAACAAGACTACAAGATCGCGCCACTCATCCTACACTCACCTCCATTCATACTTGGCATTACATTAACTTAGTATGGTCGCCATTTAAGATTAAAGTATTAAGTTAAAGAGTTGAGCTACATTTTAACCGATTTAAAGCTAGGCTGTAAATATTAACACCTCACCTTACCTCCTTGGCCATTGAAACCTAAAAAGGTTTCCATCTTGCCAGTGATACCTCTTCACTCTTCTCTATTCTCGCCTTAGGTGTAGTGCCCAACACAACCATATCCACAACCAGCACCTGGATCCTCCATTTCAATGTTGCCCATTTTTACATGTGGTATTGAAGTGCATTAATGGGACTTGTTTAAATAACTTAACTCTGGTTAAATCCGTTTTTTACAATTGGTAGTAGAGCGTCTTTGGTGGTCTTTGACGTAACAGGTTGAGCTCCCGCATCAGCTCTCCATATTTTACATCTTATAAGTGTTTCTTAAAATCTTTAAAGCAGTATCAACATAAAATCGTGTTTATAAAAGTGTATTCTACAAGTGCAATAAATAGTTTCTTACTGGATATTAACTTTTATACTTGAAAAGAACATAGCAACATATTGGTAAGACCAAGCCATTTTACTTCCTAGTAGCTTTACCAGGACGTTATATTTTCAAGTTTGCCAACATATTTAACGTAAAGACATCAATATCTTACGAATGCATGAACTTATCTAGTAAAGATGCTAAGAAAATAATGTGATATATGGTGATAATAAAACTCTAAAATCTTTATTAAGCTCTCAAATATTAAATGTGAGTTAGTGATCGGCCATCTTGAATCCTATTTTGAGGAGATGAAGGCAGCAAGCTGAACTGGCTGAACCCTACAACCAATCAGAAAAGACTTTAAAACTGTCTGCTGATCAGTCACATACACACATTGCCAAATTACCATATTTAATCTCACACATTCAATTAAAAATACACGATAATACACATCTACACTGCACAAATACCACAACAAAACCTCATACACTTCAAACAAAACAAATAGGCTACAGATAGGAAAAGGAAATCAAAGTTCACTAAGCTAGGCTTGATTAAGTTAAGTTAGGCATTTTCGTAAATCTAGACTACAAACCAAAGACCATTCCAAACCAGCCCTACCAACATCCTTGGGCAACCTATACCAAAGACCAAACCTCCTATCTCCTATTAAAAAAAAAAAAAAAAAAAAAAAGCAATTATGGTTAAAAATATTTCAAAAACTGACGTAGGTGCAAACCAAGAAAACCAAAATGACTACACCAAACCCTACTCTCTGTGTAGTATGTGAACAAAACGTTGAGGAAAATGACAAGGCAGTTGAATGCGACTGCAAAAAATGGCACCACACCAGATGTGCCGGCATTACGGATAAGCAATACAAAGCTATGGTATCTGACAGATTCATACTGACATGGGTATGCAAAGATTGTAAACAACTTAGACCTAACCATAACTCAAATTCAAATCAAATCAAGGCTCGACAGGACTCGTCCAACAGGAAACTTCTGAGACAAACCCTGAAGATGGGCCTAAATCTACAGCAGACCACCCCCTGAACACACAAATGAACTGTATTGTGGATATCCTAATGAGTGACATCGAAAATCTAAAGAAGCAACTCCAAGACAAAAATCAAGAAAATCTTAAACTATCCGAGACAATTGCTATAAAAATGGAGATAATCTATAAATTAGAACAGACTGTCTATGACCTATGTAAAGATTTTAACACCAACTCCGGTCCGAACATCAACAACGTAGCCAAAGATACCAATAGGCAAACAAATAAAAAAACAGGACCAACCTATCAGTCTAGGCCTACACAAAAAGAAACCCCACTGAACAAACAGACAATAGGCCTACCGGTACCCACACCGAACCACAGCAAAACCAGTGCACTGTCTCCATATTCTCACAGCCAGACCCCAACATCGAAGGAACAAATCGCACCTAAAGACCAAATAAACTGCTACCCTCCAAATCAAAAAAGTGGTCAAAACAAAACCCCTCTGGAAAAAACCCAACACGCTAAGCCAAAGGAAAAACTTCAAAACACAGAAGCAATAATAATCAGCGACTCGCTCCTCCGTGGTACAGCCAACATCATAGAAACAGAATACAAAGCTAACATAACCTCAAAAATAATGCCAGGCTGTAAAATTAGAGATTGTAGCAAGTACTTGACTGAAATGGAACACAACCCTCACAAAATCATTTTAAATGTAGGTTCAAATAACACTATAGACGCAAAGACCCCAAACCATGTAATGCGGCCCATTTGGCTTACAATCGAGGCTGGCATGAAATATTTTAAGAATACTAAATGGTACGTCAACAGCATTCCTTACCGCTATGATGTCGAAAATGACTTCATCTACAAAGTTAATGAAGCGCTTAAATTCATGTGTGAAGAACTAGGCGCAAAATACATAGACACAAGCTCAGTGCTTACCAGCGAGTGTTTTGCCCTTGACGGAGTTCACCTCAATAGGAGGGGGTCATGGAGATTAGCAAAGGTGATCCTAGAAGAGGCTGATCTACAAGGACAGGGAAACACTAAACCTGTAGGCCTACCCAAACAATCTAAAAATAAGGAAATCTCCACCGTACACCAACCCCAGCTCTTCACTGATGACAATACAAAAGAAACTGAAGCCCGACTACCCACTGATGACGACGCGGAGGAAACGGAGAAAATGGATAAGACAAACCCTGACTTCCCACCAAACCAAAACAATATATGTGAAGAACATATAGGCATACACCACAAAGCCTGACTTGAAGCCCACAACTCGCCAACACTCACAACCTGCATCCCAAAACCAAGACAAAATCTAAAAAAGACCTGTAATACTGGAACAACAATATACTACTTAAATATACAGAGAGGCCTGCAAAAGAAAATTGATAAACTGATTTTTGAAATAAACAGCGTCAACCCTGAAATCCTCATAATTACAGAACACGGACATAAAACTGAGCAACTAAACCAGATTTACCTTGATGGCTACAAACTTGCAGCAGAATTCTCTCGAAAAACTCACCTATGGGGAGGAGTTGCAATCTATGTTAAGAATAATATAACCTCTACAGCAATACAAACCATCTCCACCAAGGACTTCAACCAGGAACAGACTGCAGAATTTGCCGTGGTACAACTAAATAAAAAGAAACAAAGCTTAATAATAATTGGGGCATATAGAT